ATCACCGTTCTAGCGCTTATTCTTCATCTCCAGCAGCAGACTCAAACACTTCCTGAAGCACAGCGGTCACAATAAGTCTGCTCTGTCCCGGAGCTATTAATGGAGACACATTTCTAACAGCGTCTGAATGGGAAATGGTCCGTGTGTTTGTGTCCTCTCCGCAGCGGGGTGAGTAAACACAGCTTTAGTTCTCGGAGGCTAATACATCCGCAGATGTGAAGTGAAGTCAGGCCAGTAATGACCTAATCTGAGTCTCGTGATACCTGCACAGGTGAACTGACCTCTAATGACCTCTGGTGACCTGTGCTGACCCTCACACCTGTCCGTCAAGATCGTCAATCTGCGCCTGAAAGTCATGGACAACCACAACGACAGCAAGAAGGCGGAGCCCAGAGTCAATGAGAAGAAATGCTGTGAGTTATTGTTATTATTTATGCTCATTTTAGTGTCTTGATTAAGTGCCCAATGGTTGATCAAAGTTTGTGGGGATTCAAACTAGAAACCCTTTGGTTACCAGGTTAGATCTAGACACTCATCTGTAGCTAAATGTGAATAGTGAGGTATTATTTGATGTCTTCTATTGGTTACAGATATGAGCTGACACCTGAAAGGTGATCATTTAACAGCAGAGTGCTCGGTGTTTATGATGACTTCAGTTATTGTGCCGTAAGTCAAGGGTTTTCATCTTTTTAGATGGCAGAGATCTCCAAAGATGACCATCCTCATGCGAGGGACCCTTATTTTCGTGTATAAAGACTCAGTTTTTACTCATTTAAATATTATTTGGAATATCATTTTTTCCCTACTGACTACATTATATATTTATTTATATCATATTGTGTTCCTATTTAATTTGATCTAATTCTTTCTTCTCTAATTTATTTATTTTAATCTAATTTATTGCATTGCATTTCATTTGATAAATTTATTTTCATTATTTGTATTTTTATTATTTATTCATTTTAGTCTTATTTTTATTTTTAAATTTAATTGATTTTAATCTGACTTTATTTATTTAAAAAAAAGATTATACATTTATACTTTATACATATATACATTTTCTTTTCTTATTTAATTTGATCTGATTCTTTTTTTAATCTAATTTTTATTTAGACTATTTCGTAATTTATTTATTTTAATCTAATTTATTGCATTTCATTTGATTAATTTATTTTAATTATTTATTCATTTTAGTCTATTTTTATTTTTAATTGATTTTAATCTGACTTTTTTTTTTTTTTTATACATATTTATACATTTATGCTTTATACATATATACGTTTTTCTTTTCCACCGACCTTAGCACTCCCTTTCTATCGGTATATATCTATACTATATGCACCATCGTAAATGCTTATTAAATGACTCATTTAGAGTGTATTGATGTGGTTATGAATGTGTTTTTCTGTAAAAACTTCACTTAGATCCTTGTGTAGTATATAAGAAGCCGCTTGTTTGAGTTGGCAGGGCTTGTGATGGGCGTCTGGGAGCTTTGCACATCAAGACATGCTGTAGTTTTTCAACATGAGACCGACATTGAAAACCAGAGCCGAGAGTTGAGCTTTAACATGTTCGTTCAAGCTGAAATATAAATAATACTTAAATAAATCTGATTTGCAGAAGTATACATGGCTAGTATATGGGTTTGCAGATGAGATGCTCAAAATATTAATTGAATTGTTAAAATATATAAAAAAATATGAGATGAAATGCAACTTAAATTAAAATAAAAAAATTTGCCTTGGCAACAAACTAAAATATATAGATTTAAGTTGATTTAAGTTAACCTGTAACAACATTAGTCAAAACTCTATAGAAATGTAAAAAACAAGCACATAACAAAATTACTAAAACTGAAAATATTAAAACTAAAAGCGAATTCAAAATAGTAATAAATGCTACACTATTATACAAATAATATTAAAAGTACGCATGGTAGGTATATGGTTTTGCTGTTTCATTCTCAGAAACACGTGGCAGTTATTAAATACAAGAAGCCTCAAGCTACTCTCATACATAATTGATGAGGAAATGATGTCAATAACTTCAGCAGCATGAAAGCCTCATGAATGTCGCTTATTTCCAGGCATGAGAAACTCTGAAGCATCTGAAATGTGTGCAGCTGTTATGAGTATAAATATGATGACCTGGGAACAGAATGTCTGATAAGGGAACTGACCAAAATAAATGACGCGTGTTTGTTTGTTTTCATAGCATGGGCGTCATACATTGCATGGTAGGTATATGGTTTTGCTGTATCATTCTCAGAAACACGTGGCAGTTATTAAATACAAGAAGCCTCAAGCTACTCTCATACATAATTGATGAGGAAATGATGTCAATAACTTCAGCAGCATGAAAGCCTCATGAATGTCGCTTATTTCTCTGAAACTCTGAAGCATCTGAAATGTGTGCAGCTGTTATGAGTATAAATATGATGACCTGGGAACAGAATGTCTGATAAGGGAACTGACCAAAGTAAATGACGCGTGTTTGTTTGTTTTCATAGCATGGGCGTCATACATGACCAACTCCCCTACTGTCATCGTACTGATCGGCCTTCCCGCCAGAGGAAAGACATACATATCCAAGAAGCTGACGCGATACCTCAACTGGATCGGGGTTCCCACGAAAGGTGAGAGGAAAAATTGAGTTCAGCATTGTTCGGTGTTGATTATTATTATTTATGTAATTATTACTGGGGATGAAACACCCAAATTATTTCTTAAATTGAGCCAGTCAGAATTAATAATCTCAATTAATTCAGATCATTTTTTAAAAAGTTACTCATAACTATTACATGTTTTTCTGAAAGCCTGTTTCCTACACGGGATTAAAAAATAAAGGTATTTGCGACTTTTTAGTTCACAATTCTGATTTTTTTTTCCCCCCTCACAATTATGAGTTTTTTTTCTCATTCTGAATTGTGACACGCAATTCTTAGAATTGTGAGATATGTATAAACGTATTTTTTATTTAATGGTGTAAAAAAACGAGATGTAAACTACCAATTATGTGTTTACAACTTGCAATTGTTCACAGAATAAAGTGAGAAAAAAGTCAGAATTGTAAGACATAAAGACAAAATTGCAAGAAAAGGTCAGAATTACGAGATATGTGTAAACTGTGTATATATATATATATATATATATCTCAATCAATGTCCCCCCCCCCCTCATTAAGGTCAAGTTAATTTTAATTATATTTTCTCTATAGCGCCATATCACAACAGAAGTCATTTAAAGTTACCTTTCCAATAGAACAGGTCTATACCTTGTTCTTTTATTAAACAAACTAAATAGCCTTATGATATTTATCTTATTTTCACGACGGCATGTCATTTCGGTCTCTACGTTATGGTCCGCCCCGATGCGCGCACACACATACACGCGCTCATAAATACATGAACAACATCTCCAGAACTGCTCTGAGAGTCACTTCATGAGCATTTGACCGTTTCATTTCAGGAAAACTATCATCGTATCATACATACACAGAAATGTAAATGTATTCACGACAACCCGTCAAAATAAAAGTTCGGTTTAACTTGAAGGCATTGCAGCAGAAATATATTACTATTGTTCAGTAGAATGTACGTAATAGGCTGCTACTACTACTACTAAAATTATTAAAACCTTATTTTTAAGGAATAATCATATAGAATGTACGTAACAGACTGCTGCTACTACTACTACAATTATTAAAACCTTATTTTTAAGAAATAATCATACGATATTTCTTCAGTGTTTTAATTGTAATATTAAATGACCTTTATTTTCCAAAAAATAACATTTGTTTAATTTTCATTACTTAAAAGATAGATTAAATGAATGTTTTATGCCTTAAAAATTTGAATACACAACACAGAATTTCTGAGCAAAAATCATAAGGCTATTGAATAAATGAAACTTGTTTTTATGCTTTCAAATAATTAGACATGCTAAAACAGAATTTGGTAACAATAAAACATAAGGTTGGAAAAAATAAAACATTTCATAGGGCCCCAAACATGTAATTTTTGTTAAACTTTTAATAAATTGGTGTTAAATTGTTTAAGTTTCATGATTTTAATTAAATAGAAATGCTTTTTGATTAATACAATTTAATTCAACCATTAAAAAAAAAAAACGGAACACCGCATGTATATGTATAAAAATTTAATTTCTTGGTGTAAAAAAAAAACAGAATCGCGAAAAAGTCAGAATTGTGAGATATTAGCTTGCAATTGCATGAAAAAGTAAGAATTGTGAGATTAAAAAGTCACAATTACCTTTTTTATTGTTTTATTCCGTCAAAGAAAAAAAAACAGAATTGCAAGATGTAAGCTAGCCATTTTACAGGCTTATAACTTGCAATTCTGAGAAGTAAAAATAAAAACAGAATTGCAAGATGTAAACTTGAGTTTATAACTTTCTGGCCTTGGTACCTTTCTAGCATTGGTACTGTATCTATGAAATATTATACTAGCTTCACTCTGTTGCTTTCCCTGTATGTTGGTAACAGTTGTGTGTTTCTGTCAGTTTTTAACCTGGGCGTTTATAGACGTGAGGCGGTACAGTCATACAAGTCTTTCGACTTCTTCCGTCATGACAATGAAGAGGCCATGAAAATCAGGAAGTGAGTATCCACACACATTACACCTACAGTACACGAAGGATGTTTCTACAGCAGAATGACTCGCCTGAATCCGTTTCAGTCAGGAGGAAGTTTTGCAGGAAGTTGCACTGTGTGACATACTGTAATGTAATATTCACATCAAACTATGTTTCCAAAGAGCAGGAATAAAGATCTTTTAAATGATTGTGATTTGACACACAGTGGTTCCTGAGACGAGTCAGGAGCTGTTGAGTTGAATGTGATTGTGGTCTGTTGTTTCTCTCAGACAGTGTGCCATCGTGGCTCTACAGGATGTGAAATCTTATCTGAATGAGGAGGGAGGGCAGATCGCTGTAAGTTCTGCTCTTTGGACACGTTTATTTGTGGACTTCACATACTGAAACTAGAATTTCTCCATTTATTAGCTCCAATATTAATCACTTGTGTGACAGAGTGTTTTGTGTTATTTGTGGTGTTATTGTAATCTACAGACTAAAAAATTTCAAAATATTTTTTTTATAAAAATAAAGCTGTAATAAAATATAAAATTAGATGAAAAATATAGAATTAGGAATGCTGCTTTGGTAACTAACTGAACTAAACTACTGATGAAATGAAAAATAAAACTGAAATAAAAGTAAATTAATGCTAAACAGAAATAATAAATCACAAAAACACAATAAAATGACTGCAAATTAAAATAAATGAAAGTTAAATATAAATATGGGAAAAAATATAAAAAATGACATAAGCACAATGAAATTACAACTTTACTATTAAAATGCTGTGTTGGCAACTAACTGAAATACATTGAAGTATTAAAATTACTAAAACAACTTAATAAAAATAAATACAATTTTCTTTTTGAAAAATAATAAAATGGCAAAAGCACATAATAAAATTACTACAAATAAAAATAAATGAAAGCTAATTATAAAAACTAACTAAAATAAGTTTAAGTACTAAAATGATTGAAACTACTATAAACTGAAATGAAAATAAATTAAAGATAAATAGAAATATTTACAAAAATAATCAAATAACAAAAGCACATAGTAAAATTACTACAAAGAAATATAAAGCTAAATGGAAATATTGAAAGAAATAGTAAAAATAGCAATCGAATAATTAAAATGCTGTGTTGAAAATACAAGCTGAAATACAAAAATGACTTCAACTACTAAAAACTGAAATAAAAATAAATGAAAGCTAAATCGAAATATAAAAAACTAATAGTATTAAAATGAGATATGAGAAAATGATTAAATATAAAAAATAAATAAATATTAAAAAGCTAATTCAAATGATTAATGGATACTATGATATATAAATAAAACAAAAATATCACTCCCCCAGATGCCGTTTAAACACTTCATCATATCACATTGTCATTAGAAAAACTCAAATCCATACCTTCATTTCATAAATATTTGCTATACCAGTCAAAAAGAGCATAAAATAAATCAGTGTCATTCCAATCAATTAAAAATATTAATTGCTTCTATTATATTAATATTAATTGCTTCTATCTTACCTAACTGCACTTGTGACATGAGCCAATTATTATAATATTTGTATTATATTTGATGAGATATTTCCTAATTTGTTTCTCTTCAAGATCATTGTGTGAAGTGATCGTTTGTCTCTGGCAGGTTTTTGATGCCACAAACACAACCAGAGAGAGAAGGAACCTCATCTTGAGTTTTGCGAAGGAAAACGCATATAAGGTCAGAGGATGTGTGAATATCAGTCGCTTACTGAAATATTAGCACCTCTTCATGTTCAGAGCATCCAGAGATCAGTAAAGCTCCTCCGTCAGCCTGCTTTGCCCTTTATAAACCTGAATGGAAACGTACTTGCAGGCTTTGATGGGATTATTTTTGGTTTTGTTTCCAGGTGTTTTTTGTGGAGTCACTTTGTAACGACCCAGAAGTCATTGCTGCCAACATACTGGTGAGTGTCACCATTAATATTTATCACTGCGGTTATCACAGTAAGTTATGGTTAGAGAGCAAGAAATCTTTTTGTGAAGTAGAGTTGTTCTTTTCTTCATTTTGTTGTAATTATGCAGCTTTAAGGAGCTCATATTAATTGAGAGACCACAGGAAATATTTGGTGCTTTAAAAAATAAATAAATAGACACATTGCACATCTAAAATCTACACATTTTCCCGTTTATTTAAATAAGTTATACATAAGCTTATATATCTTGATGAGGATCCAAATGAAGTTAATATCATTGGACAGCAGTGACCTCGTGTTTGTTTCATAACATAACATTAATGTGGTTGCAGGATGTGAAGGTGTCCAGTCCTGATTATCCCGAGAGAGGCCGAGAGAGTGTGATGGAGGATTTCCTGAAGAGAATCGAGTGCTATAAAGTCACATATCAGCCGCTAGACCCTGATGACCATGACAAGTATGATTTTATTTTCATTTTAAAAGTGTCTTTCCATTTATTATTTTTCCAAAACGTAAGCTCTGAGGAGACATTTGGCAAGATTTTCCTTTGGGCAATTCTTGTTTTTTGATAAAAATGAAATGATGCATTTTTTGGGAAACTATAATGATAATATTCAATGTCAGCCGCTGATCTGTGCCCTGAACACCATCTTTAGCTTTTCTGTGGTTATGTCATTGAGTCTCCAGCAGAGAGCAGTACAGTACTGAATTAGTTTTGTTCATTTGTTGGCAAGTGGTTTTGTTTGGTGATAATAATACATTTATTATACACTTTACAAACATGAGCTCCAAAAAGGGAAACAACATTACGGTACACTATATTTAAATCTACAGAAATAAGTGGAAAACTCACAGTATGTTCTTCCTGAAATGTATTTAGATTTAACTCTTGTTTTAATCAACAGTGTTAGTTTAGTTTTATTTTTTATTCCTGTATTATTATAGTATTTATTATTATATTTTGAAAACTAGTTTTAAAATAAATAAAAAATTCATTCATTTTAAATGTTCTGTTAGTAAATTTGTTCTGTTTTTGTATTTTTTCTTAGTTTTTAAATATTTATTTCATTTAAGTATGTCTTAGTAATTTTAGTACTTTAGCATATATTTTTTTCAGTTAGTTGCTAAAGCAGCATTTCTAATTTGTTAATGTTTTTGTCATTTTTATTAATTAATATTATTATTTTAATTCATTTATTGTAGTACTTCAACTTCAACTTATTTTTAGTTGTACGCCAAGGCTACATTTAAAATTTTTGTTTAAGTTTTTTCCGTCTATTATTTGTATTTTACTTTATTTCAATTTTATTTTAATTAGCAAAAATGTTTTGTAATACTTTTAGTTAATGATAACAACACTGTTAATCAAGGTATTAATTTTGACACCAAATTTACAGATACACATTTTAAAACAAATAATTTCAATTCTAGCATTATACCACTTACTTACTTTATTATAGCATATACTATTTACAAAGTCTAGCATTTTTACATTTAAACACTTGGCTGAAAGTTTTATGCTTGGCTTACAAATGAATAAATCTATAGTATTACCACCTATTTTTTTAATTCTATTTTTTGAAGAGTCATTTACTGAAAAACAAATAGAGTTTTCAACTTTTTTTTTTTTTTTTTTAGGGTATAGATTGCTCATAAACATGAATGCTTTTTAAACAAGGGAGGGCATTGTTGATCTTATGATTATATGATGGTGATTTAATTATTTTTCAGCATGTGTCTTACACACACGCAAGAACAGTCACCTGTTAATTGTTCTGTACTCAAGAGGACAATAGTCTCTTTTTCGGGCTCTTTCAGGGACCTGTCCTTCATCCAGGTGATCAACGTCGGCCAGCGTTTCCTGGTGAACCACGTTCAGGATTACATCCAGAGCAAGATCGTCTACTACCTCATGAATATTCATGTTCAGAAACACTCCATCTACCTCTGCCGCCACGGCGAGAGCCAGCACAACGTCCAGGGCTGCATCGGAGGAGACTCCGAGCTCTCCAGCAGAGGAAAAGAGGTACAGTTCATGGATGGCTGAGCAGAATATGGCTCCTTTAAAACAGGCTTATTTCAGGATCATTGATATACTGTAACACCGCCCTGCATTTGCTGAGTGAAATCAAATACTTCTTTCTTACTCCTTTTGGCTGTTTTGCTCAAGCACGTCACACTTTCTCACAACATATGATGCATTTTGTAGCATTTTTGCTTTCGACAATCATTTGTAAGGTGAAGAAGTCTTTTATTAAACTTCAAAAAACTGCCACAAACACATGATTCCTGTCTTCATCTGAGTCATATTACGACAATGTTCAATTCTAAACCCATTTTCACATGTACGAATTATTCTGAAAACATTATTTCCACTTTTTTTCACTAAGTTGAATTATGCATTTTGATTACTTCTATTTGCCATTCAAATGGAAACTTTTGACATTTGACTGCTTGTTATTTTGATAAGTGCATTAAAGCTGATACATACGGAAGTTCTAAGCGGCCATGCATTATTATTTTTTTCCCTTCTTGTTTTCTCGTTATAACGACTTATTTTCTCGTTATATCGACATAACGAGAGTTGTTTTCTCGTTATAACGACTTATTTTCTCGTATGAACACTGGGCTGTTCTTCATTACTTATCGTGATAAAACAGAGGTGTTTTCTGTTAACAGGCAATTAGTCAATTTGAGTCAGATGTTTAATGGAGGTGTATCATATTTAACTCATTTACCACACCAAAATTAATTCAGCTATATCATTGGGAAAACTTTGCCATGAGTGCAATAAAAGTCTGCTTCCACATCAGTGGGAAATAAGGTAGATGTTTAATGCTTTAAAAAGAATAGTTTACCCACAAATCTAAATTTGCTCTAGACGAGTTTATTTCTTCATCAGATTTGGAGAAATGTAGCATTGCATCAGTGTCTCAGCAATGGGTGCCGTCAGAATGAGAGTCCAAACAGCTGATTAAAACATCACAATAACCCACACCACTCCAGTCCATCAGTTAACATCTTGAGAAGCCAAAAGCTGTGTGTTTGTAAGAAACAAATCCATCATCAAGACGTTTTTAACTTCAAATTGTTGCTTCCAGCTAAAATATGAGTCCATAATATTGCTTTGTCCAGTGAAAAAGTCGTCTCGTCTGAATCAGATAAATCTGCACAGATCAAGCACCGTTTACAAACCAAAGCAGTCCAAAACAGATCTGAACAAATATGTGTGTGGATTTTGATGTGAGAGACAACAGGAGATGGACTTTTTTTTACTGTAAGAAGTGTTATTATGGATTATGGACTCGTATTTTGGCCAGAAGTTATGGTTTAAGTTAAAACACCTTAATGATCGATTTGTTACTTACAACCACGCAGCTTTTCACTTCATAAGATGTTAATTGATGGACTGGAGTGGTGTACATTATTGTGATGTTTTTATCAGCTGTTTGGATTCTCATTCTGACGGCACCCATTCACTGCAGAGCATCCATTGCTGAGACACTGATGCAATGCTACATTTCTCCAAATCTGATGAAGAAACAAACTCATCTACATCTTGGCCTGCTGAAAATGAGTAAAATATCAGCAATTTTTTATTTTTGGGTGAACTAATCCTTATATTGCAAACAGAAAAAAACTAAATCACATTATTGCAAAACATCTGAATTGACTGAGAAGCATTTGTGCTGTTTGTGCATTGTTATTTTTTTATGTGTGTTTGTTTTGTATCAGGGCATCTGTGAGGAAATGACATATGAAAAGATTAAAGAAACACACCCGGATGAATATTTTCTCAGAGACCAGGACAAATACCATTACAGATACCCAGGAGGAGAGGTACGGACCATTATGACACCTGACGTGCCATTTAGAGTTCCCACATTTTAACAATAACTCTTTATGACTTTTTCAGGTTTTTTTTTTATGATTCAGATTTACGATTGACTCATGAACTATTCATTCACTGAAAAGAATTGACTCAAAATAATTCACTCCCACTTTCTGAAAGAAATCTCTTTTGCTCACCAAGGCTGCATTTATTTAATAAAAAAATACAGTGAAAACAGTAATATTGTGAAATATTATTACAATTTAAAATAGCTGTTTTCTATTTGAATATATTGTAAACTGTAATTTATTGCTGTGATCAAAGCTGAATTTCCAGCATCATTCAGTCTTCAGTGTCACATGATCCTTCAGAAATCATTCTAATATGCTGCTCAAGAAACATTTCTGAGTATTATCAATGTTAAAAACAGTTGTACTGCTTCATATTTTGGTGCTGATAAAAAAATTTCAGGATACTTTGTTGAATAGAAAGTTCAAAAGAACAGCATTTATTTGAAATATAAATCTTTTGTAAATGTATAAATGTCTTTACTGTCACTTTTTATCAATTTTATGCATCCTTGCTTAATAAAAGTATTAATTTCTTCAAAAAAAATCAAAACATTCAAATCTAGCAGTGAGTTTTGTCCTAATTCTCTTGCCGTAGTCCTATCAGGACCTGGTGCAGCGGTTGGAGCCAGTAATCATGGAGCTGGAGAGACAAGGCAATGTGCTGGTCATCTGCCACCAGGCTGTCATGCGTTGCCTCCTCGCCTACTTCCTGGACAAGAGCGCTGGTGCGTCACAAACACACTCAAATCATATCAGGCCTCTTGTGACTTACTGATGGCTATAATGAGATAATGTGAGACACAAGTATGTAGGTTTCTGAAGGCTGGTGTTCAGGTAATAAGTATTCAAAGAAGTGATCCTCTAACAAACTTTATTTGATGAAGTTGTTGATATTCCTGGGCAAAATTCTTCTATGCACAACCTCTTTGACTCAAATTTGTGTTCATAATGTCTGCAGATCTCATATTTTGGTGTGCTTCTATTGCACAGATGATTTGCCGTATCTGAAGTGCCCCCTTCATGTGGTCCTGAAACTCACCCCAGTGGCTTATGGTATGTGTTGTGTTTCATTCACATGTACAAGTAACAGAAATATAAGTTTACATCAAAAACACAAATCAAAGATCACAACAACTGTTTACCAGAGGATAAAACACATAATTTGTTAAAAGTAGCTTAAACTCATTTAATGACGGACGCATTATATCCAAATCCCTTTTTTCCTAGCTCTGTTCAAACCCGAGGAACTTTAAAATATGTGACCCTGGACCACAAAAGCAGTCATAAGGGTCAATTTCTCGAAATTTAGATTTATACATCATCTGAAAGCTGAATAAATAAGCTTTCCTTTGATGTATGTTTGTTATAATAGGACAATATTTGGCTGAGATATAACTATTTGAAATAGTTGTCTAGATTAGGAATCTGAGAGTGCAAAAAAATCCAAATACTGAGGAAAATCACCTTTATAGTTGTCCAAATGAAGTTCTTAGCAATGCATATTACTATTCAAAAGTTTTGATATATTTACGGTAGGAAATTTACAAAATATCTTCATGGAACCTGATCTTTAATTAATATACGAATGATTTTTGGCATAAAAGAAAAATCGATAATTTTGATGTTTTTTTTTGACTATTGCTAAAAATATACCCAAGCGACTTAAGACTGGTTTTGTGGTCCAGGGTCACAAATAACAGATCATTTGAGCGAAGTTTATAGCTCACGTTTGTATTGGAAAATGTGAGAGATAAGTAAGATGGAGTTAACCACAAATAGAGTTATAAATGAAACAATACCAATTAAAACTTCAAGTATACAAAGATGGTAACCTTCTCATATAAAGTGCAGTGATATGTTTGATTGCTTCAGCCAGTAATAAAATGTAAGGCGCTATGAAAAACAGTATCAAGTTGTTGTTTTTTTTTTTTTTAGTTAATGCCCTAGGGCTTTCATATAAAGTAGAGCACCATAGTCCAACAGGTTGCAGATACTAAATATTTTCTTGCACTAAAGGAAAATAAAGATCTGTTTCTATAGTAAAAACCCAATTTAAGCTTAAGTTTAGAAATTAATTTGTCAATATGTAGCTCAAAAGTTAATTGACCATCAAATAGAATGCCCAGGTACTTATAACTCACAACACATTCTATTTTTGTTCCCTGGAAGGATATAATATCAGGAAGATTACTTGGTAACACTTTGGAATTTGCAAAAATCATTAAACTAGTTTTATCTGTATTTAAAACCAGCTTAAGTTGACATAAACAGAACTGGACAATATCAAACGCTGACTGTAAATAATGAAGAGCTTGTGAGGCTGATGAAGCGTAGCAATAAATAACAGTATCATCTGCATAAAGATGGTACCTAGGATTGGGAATGTTATCACAAATATTATTTATATACAAGGAAAATAAAATGGGTCCCAGAACAGACACCTGAGGGACACCTTTGGAAACTGACAAAACAGATGAAGTACAATCTTTTATTACTATTCAAAAGTTTTGATATATTTACGGTAGGAAATTTACAAAATATCTTCATGGAACATGATCTTTAATTAATATACGAATGATTTTTGGCATAAAAGAAAAATCGATAATTTTGATGTTTTTTTTTGACTATTGCTAAAAATATACCCAAGCGACTTAAGACTGGTTTTGTGGTCCAGGGTCACAAATAACAGATCATTTGAGCGAAGTTTATAGCTCACGTTTGTATTGGAAAATGTGAGAGATAAGTAAGATGGAGTTAACCACAAATAGAGTTATAAATGAAACAATACCAATTAAAACTTCAAGTATACAAAGATGGTAACCTTCTCATATAAAGTGCAGTGATATGTTTGATTGCTTCAGCCAGTAATAAAATGTAAGGCGCTATGAAAAACAGTATCAAGTTGTTTTTTGTTTTTTTTTAGTTAATGCCCTAGGGCTTTCATATAAAGTAGAGCACCATAGTCCAACAGGTTGCAGATACTAAATATTTTCTTGCACTAAAGGAAAATAAAGATCTGTTTCTATAGTAAAAACCCAATTTAAGCTTAAGTTTAGAAATTAATTTGTCAATATGTAGCTCAAAAGTTAATTGACCATCAAATAGAATGCCCAGGTACTTATAACTCACAACACATTCTATTTTTGTTCCCTGGAAGGATATAATATCAGGAAGATTACTTGGTAACACTTTGGAATTTGCAAAAATCATTAAACTAGTTTTATCTGTATTTAAAACCAGCTTAAGTTGACATAAACAGAACTGGACAATATCAAACGCTGACTGTAAATAATGAAGAGCTTGTGAGGCTGATGAAGCGTAGCAATAAATAACAGTATCATCTGCATAAAGATGGTACCTAGGATTGGGAATGTTATCACAAATATTATTTATATACAAGGAAAATAAAATGGGTCCCAGAACAGACACCTGAGGGACACCTTTGGAAACTGACAAAACAGATGAAGTACAATCTTTTAAAAGCACACACTGCGTTCTCCCTGAAAGATAGTTGGCAAACCATTTAATAGCATTTTCTGAGAGACCAACAATGGAAAGTCATTTTAAAAGTATGCCATAATCAACTGTGTCAAAAACCTTCGATAAATCAAGAAAAAGAGCTGAACGAATTTGTTTAAAGTCTAAGGCATTAATAATGTCACTAAACACTTTCATAGCCGCAGTTAACGGTACTATACTGCTTTCTAAATCCAGATTGGAAAGGAGAAAGAATATAATTTATTTCCAGAAAGGTTTTTAATTGTTCATTCAGTAATTTCTCCAAGAGCTTAGATATTGTTCATTGTTGATAATTGTTCAACTGCTATGAGTCCCCCCTTTGAAAAGAGGAGAAACAAAAGCAGACTTCCAAATCTTTGGGATTTCACATTGGGAAATAGAAAGATTAAATAAATAAGTCCAACAGTTCAGCAATAAAATCAGCTGCGAGCTTTAGATAAAATGGTTCCAACTTATCAGGCACAGCAAACTTATTTGGGTCCAAAAAACTCAGAAACAGAGAACTGGGTAAAATAAATTTTTGTGTAAATAATATACATGGAACTTCAGTTAAAGGTACAGGCGTTTTGTAAGTTCTCATTCACGTCTTCTGGCTCTTTAATATTTAAACTGGCAAGGCTTAAATGAGTTTAGTTTAAACCGTGGGTGGAGAACCGTACGGTTCGATTTTTTTACCGAGAACCGTTCCCCCCCTATTTTGTGTAAATGTATGTATATATATATATATATATTTAGATTACACATTTTGTATTATAATGAATAAAATAAATAAATACAATATTTATAATAATATAAAATAATAAACACTAGTTTTATAATATTATAAGATAATGTTTTTTCAGGTAATTACACATTTTCATAATGTTTTTTTATTATTATGAAATGTAAATACTGTAGCAACATTCAGATATTGTTTTCTGTTACAGGCTGTAAAGTCGACATATTTGACCTGAAAGTAGAAGCTGTAAACACACACCGGGACAGACCACTCGTAAGCAGATGTATAACCTTTACCAGACTAACAGTTTTTGTTGTGTTTGCTAAAACTTCACTGTTATTACAAGCGACCATTTAGTAACATGTTTCTTTTCTTCAGGGAAATGTATTTTTGTGCAGAATGATTCTGAATGTTTATTCTTTTATTACATTTTTGGAATCATGTGCGTCCTATGATCACATGGTCTGTCCAACTCAAACAGCTTGAGTAAATCAGCAGTAGAGGAGCCTCAAAGCTAGAATAACCTCTCGGACTCTTTTAAGAGAAAGCTAAAGGCTGACAGAGTTTGTTCATAGTTTGGTGGTCTGTTTTTGCAGTGTAAGTCTGTAGGTGTGAGTTTGCTTGGAAAATACAAACCCGTCTCAGAATAGCTCTGGCTTATGGCTTGATATTGTTTTGGATGAGTAGTTTTAGGATGAGATCAGCATGTTGTTTCTTCTGTTGGGCGGCAGTCGGGGGAGTTTCCCTGCCAGCCTGAGCTGTAATTTAATGTGCATCAACATGTTTAGTTTCCGCTCAGATTTTTAAAGAGCTTATGTAACATGGAAAACAGAAGGATTTTGCACTTTAGAACAACAACAGCAACAAAAAAAGAGTTTGATGATGTAATAAGTTGACTTTAATAACTCCAATCCATCCAACAGATTTATGGGTGAATCTCATGAAGGAAATGTTTTTGTTTTTCTCCCTTCTTTAAAATTTAGCATAATTACGTTGTACAAATGTACTTGAATCGCACTAAAAATAAGCTTCATTGTCTTTATGCAAAATATAATTGGGTAACACTTTACTTAAAGCCTTTATACTGTATATAATGCACTTTAAAAGTAGTTTTAATGCATTAATTAAGCCTTGTAATACAGCTTATAATGCATTGTATAATCTCATGAATAATTATAACCACAGTTATAATACATTATAATTATCTATTCATTGTTACACCTTTAGAAAGTATAATGCATTAAAACACATGACAAACAAACTTTCAAATATTATAATGCATTTCAACTTTGGTTACAATTATCCGTTAAGATATAATGCATTTCAACCTACATTATGAATACCTATAATCCATAAAAGCAAGTGTTACCTATAATTTCTTATTCTTCTTTTAAAGGGATAGTTCTCCCAAAAATCCTAGACGTATCTGACATTCTTCTTTCAGATGAATCCAGTCAGAGTTATATTAAAAATTGTCCTGGCGCTTCCAAGCTGTATAATGGCAGTGAATGGTGCCCCTGTTTTTGAAGCCCAAAAAAGTGCATCCATCCATCATCAAACTACTCCACACGGCTCCGGGGTGTTAATAAAGGCCTTCTGAAGCGAAACGATGCGTTAGAGTAAAAAACAAATATTAATTTTATAAAAATGTATAAACTGTAATCTCCAGCTTCCGGTCGAACAAGGCGTTCGAGCGCATGACGTAGGCGTAGCGGAAGACGCATCGTAAGCTCCGGGTCATGCGCTCAAACGTCTTGAAGCTGGAGGTTACAGTTTATACATTTTTAGAAAATGTATATATTTCTTTTTACACTAACGCATCGTTTCGCTTCAGAAGGCCTTTATTAACACCCCGGAGCCGTGTGGAGTAGTTTGATGATGGATGGATGCACTTTTTTGTGCTTCAAAAACAGGGGCACCATTCACTGCCATTATACAGCTTGGAAGAGCCAGGACAATTTTAAATATACCTGTGATTGTGTTCGAAAAAAAAAAAAGAGGAATGTCAGATATGCCTAGGATGCCCTGATGGTGAGTAAATCATGGGCTAATTTTCATTTTTGGGTGAACTATCCCTTTAATTTTCAGGTGAAAAAAAAAAACAACCTCAGAAATTGTCACCGTTATGATATCAAAACACATTAAGGCAAGTTTATTTATAAATATTATTTTATATGCATTGGTGCTTTACATAATAATAATATTTTTTATTTATAATACATTTTTATAATAATCATACAAGTAATCAACATATGCATACAAATACAAATAAATGTAAAAATCTTTATAAGAAGATAGAAGAAAAGAGAAGTGTACATACAATGATAATCTGTTCGAGTAAATGCACAGAAACATTAACAGATTAACATATGACTGCTTAATTTAACACCTTAATTTCACACGCAAAGCCATTAGCCAATCACAACTGATGTAATTTACATATAGAAGGCTAAGAGGCATGATAGGCAGAGAGAAGGTGGAAAATAGTCATAAAGAACTACATTATGATTCAAGAAACCCTGACTTTTAAGAAACATGGCCCTTTATAAACATACCCACTTGCTGTACTTAATGCTTACGTTGTGTGTTCAGGGAAGTTCCAGACAGGCAGTGCCGCCCACTCTGCTGAGAAGGAACAGCTTTACGCCACTATCTAGTCAGGATCAAGTCAAGCGGCCCCGCCTCTTTAGCGTCGGCAACCCGCCCCGGCTAGCAAGCGTTCCTGCCTTATCAACCACGCGATTCCCTGAGGCGGAGGAGAGCGAGGAGCTGAGCGAGAGCCAGGTTAGTTTTGGCCTTCTGCATCTCTGTGTGTCTGAGCTCTTAAAGCTTCCCTTCAATGTGATTTACAGCATGCAGAATAAGTTCCCAAACTCACACTGAGAATATAAATACCCTGAGAGATCAAAAAGCAGGCACAATTATGACCCAAATCAGGGATGCAAACTTGTCACCTTTCAGCTAAATTTGCCAATTTGAATTCTAAATGGGTCATTTGTGTGATTTGTGTAGATCCGGTGAGTTTCTAAAATGTTTTTTTTGTTACTTTTTTACAGTACCATTAGTACCAACTCAATTCTGTATCTGCTTGAAGCAGGGCTGCACGATATATCGAAATATCGCAAATGTAAATATCGCACGGTTTTAAAGGGACAGCAGCCTATAAATACGTGCTGCTGAATATGTCACTAATGTTAATCAAACAACAAAACGGCTATAACAAAGATTAATCTAAATTTAATTCATACAGTGAACACTATGCAGTGTTATTTTACACTTAATTATTAAATTTCTTTACCTGAATACCACTGTTTATATCATCTATGCTTGTAAATTGTGTATTACTTTTTTTTTTTTTTACTGACTGTTCACTTGCCTTTAATCATGTTTGAAATTTCTCAGACTATAGTTTTTTGCTGTGGTATATGAAGAAGGACTTAAAGTGTATGGAAAGCAAAGTTACGATGATATAAAATTAGTGTCATATTTATTTTTTTTTGTATGTTCACACTGATGTTAAAATTACATTTTCTGATTTGTGACATTACTTTTTATGTAATGCTAAAACACTGCTGGTCAGAAGTTGTAGTGATTCATTCTTTTCCAAGAACATAACAAATTGGTTATATCATTTTCATTTTTAAATATTTAAATATATAATTGAAATTGATTTTACACACGTTAAGCAATATCGTATCAAATATCGCATTTTTTAACAAGGTATCGCATATCGCATTTTTCTTCAATATCGCACAGCCCTAGCTTGAACTCACCCATGTGTTTGTGTGCGTGCTCTGGTGTTTGTAGCCAATCACAGGCATCTCTGTTGAAAGCAATTCAATTAAATTCAAGTTTATTTGTATAGCCTTTTTCACAATACAAATCGTTGCAAAGCAGCTTTATAGAAAATTAAGTTTCTACAATATATTTAGAAAGCAATGGCCAATCAGAGGTGTTTACTGTAGGATCCGCTCTGAACTCATTTTTGTTTTCGCAAGTTTGCGTAGTTCTATCAAGCGGCAACCTTCCGGTCTCTCTCTGGAAAAAAAAACACGGAAGTGACTTAAACTGCAATTCATCGACTGGCCGCTAGAGACTGGCTCCAAAAGGGAGTCAATCCCATAGACTCTCCACGTTAAAATTCCCAAATTTACAGCAGAATTTTTTTTTACAGCCTTGTACAAAAAGTGGTTTTGGTCTATATAGCTAATTTTGCCCTTCATGACTACTGTGAGGGGGTGAATTTTTTTTATAACTCATCCGTTTAAATTATATTAAGCCTTAAAGTTCTGCATAATTAGGGGCGTGGCCACTTGAGTGACAGGTGGATTGCTGCTGCTGTCGCCACCTTCGACCCCCTCCACCCACGTCCCGCCTCTTTGCCCATTTTCGATTATCCAGGAGTGACGCGCTGCCAAGATGGCGACGGCCGGCTCCACCCATTTTAGGCTTCAAAAATGCTCTTCGGAAACCTACGGGTGACATCACGGACACTACGTCCATGTTTTTTTTACAGTCTATGAGATCTACACACTCGCAGATCTTCCCATTATAACAAAAGAAAAAGGTAACATGCATGATGTAAATAAGAGATTGATTGTGTAGTTAGTTATTGATTATATCAGGAGTTATTGCATGAGTAAGCTGTAAGGGAAGCGCAAATACGTGCTGCTGAATATGTCACTAATGTTAATCAAACAACAAAACGGCTATAACAAAGATTAATCTAAATTTAATTCATACAGTGAACACTATGCAGTGTTATTTTACACTTAATTATTAAATTTCTTTACCTGAATACCACTGTTTATATCATCTATGCTTGTAAATTGTGTATTACTTTTTTTTTTTTTTACTGACTGTTCACTTGCCTTTAATCATGTTTGAAATTTCTCAGACTATAGTTTTTGCTGTGGTATATGAAGAAGGACTTAAAGTGTATGGAAAGCAAAGTTACGATGATATAAAATTAGTGTCATATTTTTTTTTTTTTGTATGTTCACACTGATGTTAAAATTACATTTTCTGATTTGTGACATTACTTTTTATGTAATGCTAAAACACTGCTGGTCAGAAGTTGTAGTGATTCATTCTTTTCCAAGAACATAACAAATTGGTTATATCATTTTCATTTTTAAATATTTAAATATATAATTGAAATTGATTTTACACACGTTAAGCAATATCGTATCAAATATCGCATTTTTTAACAAGGTATCGCATATCGCATTTTTCTTCAATATCGCACAGCCCTAGCTTGAACTCACCCATGTGTTTGTGTGCGTGCTCTGGTGTTTGTAGCCAATCACAGGCATCTCTGTTGAAAGCAATTCAATTAAATTCAAGTTTATTTGTATAGCCTTTTTCACAATACAAATCGTTGCAAAGCAGCTTTATAGAAAATTAAGTTTCTACAATATATTTAGAAAGCAATGGCCAATCAGAGGTGTTTACTGTAGGATCCGCTCTGAACTCATTTTTGTTTTCGCAAGTTTGCGTAGTTCTATCAAGCAGCAACCTTCCGGTCTCTCTCTGGAAAAAAAAACACGGAAGTGACTTAAACTGCAATTCATCGACTGGCCGCTAGAGACTGGCTCCAAAAGGGAGTCAATCCCATAGACTCTCCACGTTAAAATTCCCAAATTTACAGCAGAATTTTTTTTTACAGCCTTGTACAAAAAGTGGTTTTGGTCTATATAGCTAATTTTGCCCTTCATGACTACTGTGAGGGGGTGAATTTTTTTTATAACTCATCCGTTTAAATTATATTAAGCCTTAAAGTTCTGCATAATTAGGGGCGTGGCCACTTGAGTGACAGGTGGATTGCTGCTGCTGTCACCACCTTCGACCACCTCCACCCACGTCCCGCCTCTTTGCCCAGTTTCGATTATCCAGGAGTGACGCGCTGCCAAGATGGCGACGGCCGGCTCCACCCATTTTAGGCTTCAAAAATGCTCTTCGGAAACCTACGGGTGACATCACGGACACTACGTCCATGTTTTTTTACACTCTATGAGATTCTACACACTCGCAGATCTTCCCATTATAACAAAAGAAAAAGGTAACATGCATGATGTAAATAAGAGATTGATTGTGTAGTTAGTTATTGATTATATCAGGAGTTATTGCATGAGTAAGCTGTAAGGGAAGCGCTCGGTTTCTCTACATAATCCATTCACAATGAGATCTACACACTCGCAGATCTTCCCATTATAACAAAAGAAAAAGGTAACATGCATGATGTAAATAAGAGATTGATTGTGTAGTTAGTTATTGATTATATCAGGAGTTATTGCATGAGTAAGCTGTAAGGGAAGCGCTCGGTTTCTCTACATAATCCATTCACAATTTGAAGAAAAGTTTTGCTTGTTTAAGAGGACCAAACGTCCACGCATACTGTTTCAGGAATGACAAACCCGATTGTAAAAAATGACACGAGTGTAGGGTTGGGCGATGTCTACAGTGAAACATCGCAATGGATGAGAACATCGCCAGGGGCTGGGGCGAGTGGGGGTGGAGTTAGGGGTGCCCGAAGTGTGAAAACGTTTTCCTAACACCGTGTCTACACCAGACACGAGCGGCACAACAAAATACTATAGAACCACTGATCTATAATAGAAATTTATTATATATAGATCAGTCTATCGAACTCATAATCAGTGATGCTGTCTACACTGGATGCGGTGAGGCGCGACATGACAAATCCCCGACAGAAAACTGCTGCTGCATTCTATTTATGACGTGCTGACACAAATTTCAAATGATTTTCAATGGTCGCTTTGTTGCGTCCAGTGTAGACAGACTTTAGCTTATGCAGTGCGGCGCGACACGACAACTGTCGCGTTCGGTGTAGACACGGTTTAATGGTTGCCTGTTACATTACAGTACATAAAATTTCACTTATCACATAAACAGTGTAAGGAGAGATGACTGAGGACGATGGCGAATGATTTGCAGATCCTCAGTACCACTGACAAACATATGATCTTGTAAAATGTGTGGCAAGTACTGCCGCTCCATAGTATAAATGGAGTACGTACGATCGCAAATCGTGAAAGTGAAACTAAAAGTGTCATGCATTCAAAAGCACGATACCAGCTTCAATGCCAGGTATAATAGCGGCTCCCTGATGCTGAAATATATATGTAGCATAATTACCCAATTATATAACTGCGAGGAAAATATTGAAATATATATTTTCCTCCCATCTCGTATTTATTCCCTTTAGGGGTTCTGCCTAC